CTCCTTTCCAATCTTTCCAGGCTTAGAGATGACCATTACTTCCTTGTTAGAGAGCCTGTAACTTACCTCATTATAATCACTGGTGAGTTTAAATGTTCATGCCCAGGAGTCATTAGCTAACATGCTAAGAAGAGTGCCTGGGGCAGAGTGAAAGGTAACATTTATCTGATCAGAAAGAGCCACAGGTCTAGAGGCAGTTACTATAAGCCCTTCCGTTACCTGTGTATCAATCAAGAGTAGAAACTTTGCCAATACCAAATAAATATTAACAGTATGTTTTTATTGGTGAAAGTAATGTTTTATTAATTAGCCTGATGGATGTAATAAGAGGATCTCGTTAGGTCACATTTCAGATATTCAGAATAGATGCATGAGAAAAAATAAGTTAGCCATACTCCCGCTGTTGCATGAAGGTACAAGAAACCAGCCAGATCTGCTCTTGCATCCCTTAGACCCGATTCCTGTACCTCTGGGAGGAACGGTGTCTGTGGCTTGATCCCTAGTTGGACCTGTGCCCAGCCATTGGTTTAGAAGAATTTCTGATTTCTGATGCCAAGCAGAAAGCTCGGAGTCCTGCTTTGTAAATGCTGTTCTTTGTCACAAGTATATTTTTCCTACACGGTAAAGTCAGCACACCTAGAAATGCAGACAGCTGAGGCTCTGTAGAGTTTAAGGAACAAAGTATACGAACTGCTTTGTGCCTGCTTTACTAAAGGCTGTTTATTAAACAAATGTGTGATAAAATTGTGTTTGAAATCTACGTGTTTTATAACGTAGTAGTCAGCTGATAAGGCAGTGGCTTTCTCTCACCTGAATAGAACTTCCTAGTTACTACTCTGATCTAACAAAATTAACCTTAGTGTCCTGCATGGCCAGATTGGCTTAGTCAGGGGGCAACTGCACCATTTTTTTTTTTTTTTTTTTAACTCTGATGCAGCAAATAGCCTTCCTTCAGTCCCGAAGTGCCATCCGTCCTGCTTCGAGGGGCTATGACGTTCCCTCTCCATTCTTCACCTGGTCAACTCTGACACACTCTGTAGGTCTCGGCTTAAAGCACTGGTTCCCAGACTTTGCTGTGCATTAGAATCACACAAACAGCTTCTAAACAGCCCCACACTCTGGATCACGCCCCATACAAATTATATTAGGATGTCTGGAGGTGGGGGCCAGGCATCAGTATTTTTAAAAGATTCCCTGTAATTCCACTGAGCAGTCATTTGGGAACCACTGGCTTTCTTTTTCTTTTCTTTTTAAGTTTATTTATTTGGAGGGAGGGAGGGAGGGAGGGAGAGAGAACAAGCAGGGGAGTGGGAGAGAGAAAGGGAGAGAGAGAATCCCAAGCAGGCTCAGGGCTCAATGGGGGGCTCCATCCCACAAACCATGAGATGATGACCTGAGCTGAAATCAAGAGTCAGATACTCAACTGACTGAGCCACTCAGGTGCCCCACAATGTTATTTTTCTTAGAACAGACTTCACTAATCACTTCACCTAAATTTAGGTTCCTCTATCATTTAGTTTCCTGTGTCTTAGAGGTTTCTCAGCATTTTCTTATTTTATAATTAGTTGTGCCATTTTTGTCTTGGTGCTATCTGCCTCCTTGACTGGACGCCCTATTAGGGCCAATGCCTTGACTGGTTTTCTAAAATTTTTTTTTTTAATGTTTTATTTATTTCTAGGAGAGAGAGAGACAGTGTGAGCAGGGGAGGGTCAGAGAGGGAGGGAGTCACAGACTCCGAAACAGGCTCCAGGCTCTGAGCTGGCAGTCAGCACAGAGCCCGACGCGGGGCTCAAATCCACGAACCGCGAGATCATGACCTAAGCGAAAGTCGGACGCTTAACCGACTAAGCCACCCAGGTACCCCACCTTGACTGGTTTTCTAATCTCAGCATCTGAAGCAGCTAGGACCACACCTGGCACATAGCAAGTGCTCAATATATGTTTGTCAACAATGAATAAATCAATGAATTCAATATGTACCACTTCATTGAAATATTTTCCCCCAATTAAAAATGAGCCAACTAACCAAACATTTGAGTGATAAATGTTATCAGTTTTCTAACAAGTACTTCGGAGTGACAAGGAGGGAATTGTAATCTATTTGGAAGTAGGATTAATGCATATGGAACCATAGGAGAATTGAATAAGGCAGAGTCATAAAAAACAAGGGCTTACACAAAGAGACCGTGGGTGCAAGGTGATGAGTAACACATATACATGGATGTTTGCTCCCCTGGACTTGTGTGAGTGAACTTGGGCACCGACAGTCAAATGTTATGTCATACAGCACAGGCTGCCGCCACCCAGCCCAACTTTGCTTTCTTTTGCTTGGATGTTTGAATTCTGTTACCCAGCAAGTATTCCTGAACATTATGCAGCATTTGCCTAAATCAGCAGCCTTTTGTTTTTGTGAGTCAGAAAACTAGATTCACTCATGAAATGTGAAAGAAATAGCTCCATCTTGAAAACTGATTGTCATCTTTATCTAATTTTGATCAAGCCTTTGGGATGGTTTTTAAATGATTAGCCCGATGAATTATAGAGCTGTGTTAGAAGAAACAGATTTGTTTGGGTGCTTTAAAATATTTATTCTCCTCACATTCTTATCCTTATCTTCCACCCAAATCCCTGACGACGTAAACGTTTTTGGGGCTTTCTCTACAAACCACAATTCCTGCATCTGGCATGAATAGATAATTTCACAAACCAAATTGGAGACAGCGGGCAATAAATGTTCTTGCTAATTTCAATAAGCCTACATATAAACAAACAGACCAAAAGAAGTTCTCAGGCCCTTTTGCATCATGACATAAGCAGGTGCTACAAATTAAGGTAACATTCACCAGCCACACCAGAGAGAGAGGACGGATAAATTCGAGGGAGCTCTGGAATGACAGAAGGCATGTGGTTAAAGTACTAGTGAAGGACATGGAAGATTAGTCTAAGCTGCTTGGGGACACCAACAGCCCTTTCTCGAAGCTAAATCTGAGGTAATGGTGGGCTCATCCTATTAAAGCAACAGACAGAATTTGTCCAAACTAGTTTTATAAGGGGTAACATTGAAGAGGCCTCATGTGTGTGACTGACATTAATTTATTTTTCTGCGCTGTCACCGAGCTCCCCAGAGTTCAGAATGAATGGGAAGTGATACTAAGGCATTCCACACAGCTTCACTCAGGTCCGGCTTGGGCCTGTGTCTTGGAAGGCAGCAGACACTCTTTATCAGTGAAGGCTTGAGATTGTTAGCTAAGGTGTCATCCAATTGGGTGCATTTCCTTCCAGTAAACAGTAATCGGTCTGAGGAAGAACTGTGTCAGGTCAGTAGGAGTGTGTGTGACTTAGCCTGTCCCAGGGTGGTTTCTGTGCACAGTTAGTTATTCTAGAATAACCTAGAAGTTATTCTAAAAAAAAAAAAAATACTCCTTGAAGTGTCTAAATCCAGTTCATAACATCTTTTTAGTCTCTTGAGAAACGTATTAACTATTAACAATTTCTCTCAAGGGATCTTTGATCAATGACTACTCTTGTTTACTAATTTAGCCAAACGCAAACATTTTAAACTACATGTACAAATGTACAGTGTTTAATTTCCTTCATTTCTTGAATTATTTGAGTACAAACCAACTCAACCACATATATAGCCAGTTATTATAAATGTGACAAATTAAACCTTAAACATGGTGAATCTTAACTTATATCAAATGATATTGTTTATATCATTGTTTTTATTATTAGTAATATTGTTTATAAGCTTCTTAATATCTCAACTGAATAGCACAAGTCTGAATAAAATAGTCAATTACCTATTTCTTTTAAATGTTTATTTATTTTTGAGAGAGAAGAGAGTGTGCATGAGTGAGATGAAGGGCAGAGAGAGAGGGAGACAGAGGATCCCAAGCAGGCTCTGAGCTGGCAGCAGAGGGGCTTGAACCCACAAGCCATGAGATCATGACCTGAGCCAAAATCAGATGCTCAACTGACTGAATCACCCAGGGCCCCCATCATCCATTTAATTTAATCATGGGTCTCAGTGAAGAAGATCCTTGAACACTTAAGATGCCAAATGCATTCAGATATCTTTACACAAAAACACTGAATACTGTGGGGTGATTCTCTTCAACACTGGATATTTAATTTTTAAAAAATTTTAAGACTACTTATGAAAACAACTGCAGGTTTTAGCCTAGAGGTAAGCTCTGGGGCTGCAGGAGATTCTGGGTAAGTTTTCTCACTACCATCATCAACAAGCCAAGGAAATTCGTTTTTTGTTTTTTTTTTTATTAAAAAAAATTTTTTTTAAGTATTTTATTTATTTTTGAGAGAGAGATACAGACAGCATGAGCAGGGGAGGGTCAGAGAGAGAGGGAGACACAGAATCTGAAGCAGGCTCCAGGCTCCGAGCTAGCTCTCAGCGCAGAGCCCGATGCGGGGCTCGAACCCCCGAACCGTGAGATCATGACCTGAGCTGAAGTCGGACGCTTAACCAACTGAGCCACCCAGGTGCCCCGGAAGTTCGGTTTTGACCTTCACTAGGCCAACATGCATCTCAAGACCATGTCCTCCAAACAGGGTGGTCTTGTAGCCCAGATCTCCAGAGTAAAGTCATATGTTTCTTTAATTTTCCTTTAGTAACAAAATTTCACAATGCACATTAAGCTTAAAGCTAATGTCCTTCACTGTTTCCATAGTATTTGTGTTCCACAGAAACTTTTTCCTCATTGGATTCTATGAATCCCTTCCCTTAAAAAAAAAAATGTCTGTGCTGGCCAAGTAGTTAATGACTTTCCCATCTCTCCACTACTCTAACAGATCTTCTGCCTGAGAATTTCTGCAGTGGAATCTGGTTCTTCCGGACCAAGCTCCTGAATGCCCCCAAATCTACACGTAGCTCAGCATGAACCTTGGTGTAGGCTAAGGCATTACTCCCCAGCATGCAAGCTTTCCATTTTCCAGACCTTGAGCTACAAACATCCTCACTAACTTTTCTTGATCCTCCCCAGGTAAATGCCAAATGCAGCGTGGGCCAAACAAAAATTGAAAACTGGAAGAATTAGGCCATGGCGTCAAAACTTCGCTAAGGAAAATGACTCCAAAAAGCCTTAAAGAATATCTGCTTGCGATCGAATAAAAGATCTGAACTGCAAGTGGGAAATAAATGTCATGAGCTCACTTTTCTACATAATAAATATTTGTTTAAAAGGGTGTTTTACCTTAATATTCACTGATTCATCCACATACATACATATACAGAACATATAACTTTGCATGTGATTATTAAATTGGCTTATAATATATCAATTTTTTTCTTCAAGAACCACCTTGCAAAAATTGGCTTATTTAAGTAGCCATCAAATCAATTATTAGAGACAGATAAGCAGTACTGGAGTTTCTTGGAAAGAAACGGGTGTTTCCCTTCTGAGATCTAACGAAAGGTGCCAGGTGTCCTGTCTGGAACAAAGTGTCCATGACTGTGCTTTCCTTCTGCATAATAACCAAGAGTGAACGTGGATGCCAAAAACTACTTATCTTTTCACCTGCCATAATATGAAGATGTTTATACTCAGCTATTGCAAACTCTCCTCAAAACACAGTGGAAATTAAGTAAAAATAACATATATTTACAATATATGTACATGAGCAGACACATGAAAAGATGCTCATCATCAGGGAAATGCAAATCCAAACCGCAATGAGATGCCACCTCACACCTGTCAGAATGGCTACTATCAAAAAGACAAGAAATAACAAGTGTTGGTAAGGATGTGGAGAAAGAAGAACCCTTGGGCACTGACGGGGAATGTAAATAAATGGGTGCAGCCACTGTGAAAAACAGTATGGAGTTTCCTCAAAATTCAAAAATAGAAATACCAGGGGTGTCTGGGTGGGTCAGTCAGTTAAGCAACCAAACCCTTGATTTCGGCTCAGGTCATGATCTCACATTTCATGAGATGGAGCTCCATGTCAGATCCCTGAGCTGACAGCATGGAGCCTGCTCGGGATTCTCTCTCTTCCTATATCTTTGTCTCTCTTCCACTTGCACTCTCTCTCTTTCACTCTCTCAAAATAAAAAAAACCTTAAAAATAGAAATAAAAATAGAAATACCGTATGACCCAGCAATTCCACTGTTGGGTATTTACCAAAGAAAATGAAAACACTAATTCGAAGAGATATATGTGCCATGTGTTTATTGCATATTTACAAAAGCTCAGATATGGAAGCAACCCAAGTATCCATCAATAGACAAATGGATAAAGAAACTTGAGGGGTGTGTGTGTGCATAAATATTACCTGGTCATAAAAATGAATGAGATCTTGCCATTTGCAACAACATGGATGCACATAGAAAGTATTATGCTAAATGAAATAAGTCAGACAGAGAAAGACAAACATCGCAAGATTTCACTTACATGAGGAATCTAAGAAAACAAATGAACAAGCGAACAAAAAGGAGAAACAGACCCATAAATACAGAGAACAAATGGATGGTTGCCAGAGAGGAGTGGGGTGGGGGGGATGGGCAAAACAGGTGAAGGGGAGGGGGAGAAACAGGCTTTGAGTATGGGATAAACAAGTCACGAGGATATGCGGTCCAGCACAAGGAATATAGCTGAGAGTCCTGTCATAAGTGTTGTGTGGTGACAGACGGCAGCCACACTTGTGGTGAATACAACATAACGTACAAGGTTCTTGAATCACTATGTTGTACACCTGAAACTAACATCGCAATGTGTGTCAACTTTACCCAAATAAAAATAAATAAATGAATAAAAATTAATTAATTAAAAAAAACAATATATATGCAATCCTAGAAATGCCAAAAACTATTGAATAAACTATTCAGTGATGCTGAGGAATAGCTGACTTTTCAGTAAGCTTATTGATAAGTCAGTTATGTAAATTGAAATTGCTGCTTTATTTACGACAAATGGCTGATGGTCTAACCTACAGACTAAACTAAACTGCGCTGATGTAGACAGAAATCTTACCACAGATTAGCAGACTAGAAGGCTAGGAAAATTATTCATAGTAATGGAGATAACTTTTCATCCTCAAATTAAAAACAATGTTACAAAGCTCCTAACATAATCACTTTAATTAAGTGTAATTTATTTGATCCTTATACGGATCTTTCAGTATTACTGCTTACATATAACCAATTATAAATACCCAGAGACTCTGCAGTTCTCATTACAGGCAAATAAAATGCTTTCATAAATAATGCATCCTCCCACAATCTGGGCCCATTCTATTTTTGTTACGGTGCTTTCCTATGGTTTGGACTAAATACGTAGTAAATATTTTTCCTTACCTCTAACCCTATGACCAGACTGAATTGCTGTGGCTTGAACTATTGAAAAATAGAATTCAAATTCAAATAGAAGTGGACCATGAAAGACAACCAATTGAGGCCATCAAATGACATGCTGCTTCAAAAAAAAAAGCAAGCAGGTCCAGTTTGAAGCTTCTGACAGCATGACCAGAAACAAAATTCAAGGAAATATTTGTAACAGTAATGGAAGGGATGAGAAATCTGTGTTATTATTTTCTGATTTGGAGACACTGGTTGTCTTTAAGAAAATAAGGCCGTTACATTTGGTTTGTTCCACACAAAGTAATCCTGAATGTTTTCTAAAGAGTCATCACAACAATGAAAGTGGTTGTGTGCTCATCTGCCATTGTGGGAAAGCAGCTAAGTGTGTTGTAAAATATAAGGAATATATATATATAACTTTACTGAGTTAATAATTTGCTCCATAACAATAGGTTCCTTTGGGCCTCAGGCATCTTCTAGAACAAGAATAACTCAATATTGTTCAATGCTATTCAATAGTATGGCAAGATCTCTAACCAGGTTCTAGGGAGTTTATCATTTTTGTTTCAGACACAACAATCCTGTGCAGGAGAATGGTGAGCACCAAATGCCAGACAAATGGTTAAAAGGGGAGCTTTTATGTAAGATAAAACTTCTTAAAAGACTATATAGACTGGAAATCATTGTTCAGATACCTGCATACTTTATCTGTAACTTTTATGTGCTAGATGTGCCCTATCTGAATGATCCATCACCTTGTGGATAACAAGGATATCGTCTGAAGAAAAATTTCTCCGTGATTTAAAAAAAAAAACCCAAGAAACAAAAAAGTCTTTCACAACAGTTCAAGAATCCTGAGGCCAAATTTATTCATCCGTTTGGCTTTCAGCAGGCAACTGCTTTGTCCCCAGCAGAATTATCCAAGCTTACTTAAGAATGCAGAAGAGCTCAGAGAGCTGAAAATTCTATTCCCATTGCCATGGTGAAAACCACAGCCTATGAAGATAGCGGCCCCCGGCACAAGTGGGGTGGTCCCCGACATCCCTTTGGGACACCACCACTGAACCTAGAAACAAATACTCCAATTTAGAAAGAAGCCCTCTGTCTAGAATCTAGAAAACGTCACTTCAAATATCATTTGGGGGAAACAGATCCCTTTTCCCCATCCCATTTTTTAGTGCTAAAAAACTAACAAAAGACCATCATGAAATGATAGGAATTCTTCCCACATTTGGAAAAAATGTATGAATAACATTTGCCACAGATAGTTCCCATGTCCCAGGGACGTGCACCTCCTCGTAGCACAACCTATAAACACAAGTATTTGGTACAAAACCCCCCAGAAGACACCCCTGCGGAGATGATCAATCAGCGCCCAGTGGCTTTGGGATGTTTTCCAAAAGCAAAGTCCCTGAAGAATGTTAACATTTCATTACTTCTCTCTTTTCTGAGGATTATTGAATCAGGAAGTCATTGTCCCCTATTAATCTTTGAAGAGAGAAAAAATAATGGCAGGAATCTACAACTTCCACATAGTACGGCACAGCTGCTTGGCTCCCAGTCAACATTCCATATTTCAAATAACTATTACATGTTAAACCATAGAATTATAAGGAAGTGGTTTATTATAGGGAAGCCTTCCCAGGGAGGCATCTCTGTTAGAGGGATATTTGAATAAAAAGCTAAATTTACTTTTCATAACGGCATGTTGACTATCATAAGTGCATTTCTGCATGGGCTAAGTAGGTAACTCTGACTTATCTGTTTACTCTCTAACCTATAGGTGATTAGTTGCTGTTACTAGGAATACGTACTTCAACTGGAGTTAGCTAGTGTTTCATCAAAAGGCCACATCTCAGGGTGGCTGCTTTAGTCATTTTTAGCACCACACTAACCTTAGCAGTTCTTATAATTGGCAAAATGGATGTGAAGAGGTAAGGGTTTGGGTTAATAAAGTTACTGGTGCTTAAGATATGTGGACTGGGTAGAATACAGAGACATTCTGTACTCTGGTGTGTTCATACTAGAAGAGTCTAGTGAGCTGTATATACTCTCTGAAATGGCTTGTGAGACTAGACTCCAGAATAGTACTGTATCCAGGCATGGGGCTGGACCTTGGCTACCAGATTCCATCACTCAGGTTAACCGAAGTCCTGCCCCCAGAATAGTGTTGTGTTGATCTCAAAGGGACTCCTTCATGCCAGCTGTAGTTGAAACACCTAACAGGGCAGAGAACGGGGGTTTTACTGTCATTGTTAGGACCTGATTATTAATAAATATATGTGGGGCAAAAAGTGGTCTAAGTATGCTTCTGTATTTGTATGGGGGTTATCAGAGAGGAAAGCTATAACCTTCACTTACCTCTAAATACTTGCACACACTGCTAACTCTTCCCAAAATTCACTTTCTTCTTCTGGGGCACACACTTGAACTACATTTACCAGCCTCTCCTCAATTGCATGAGAGGTCTTTAATTGCAGCCAAAGTTTAGCCAAAGGAATGCAGGAGTAAAGGATGTGTGCCATTTTGTTTCATGGCTTTAAGAAGTAGATGCAGAACTTCTCTCTTCTGTCAGTTGGATATAGGCAAAGTTGAGCCTCAGGGAATGGTACCTCTGTAGAAGGAGCCTGGGTCCTTGAATCATCATGTGTAAGCCAAACAGTAATATTTACTTGGACTGTGCTGTGGGCTACAAATAAACTTTTATTGCTTTTCAACAATTATTCATTCTGGGGTCTATTTATTACCATAGTCTAGTCTTCCTAACTGAACCAGGAGACCACCAACACTCACCAAAAAGAACCTAATAAGTGTGTACGACCAAACTGATTTAGAATGGTTTGAATACATTTAACT